TTATAAATAGGAATGTTTTATGAACTAAAAGAAAATGAATTGTAGACTTAACTTTAAGTGACATATTAAACGTTTCTATGCAAAATAACCCTAGATTGTCTACATAGTACATTTGGATTTGTTATCAAAGTAATCACAAGCAACTATGAAGTTTTAGTAGCTATGTTGCTCACGTTGATACTAAAAGATAAGTATGGTTGAAAAGACATCTTTTTATTTATCAGCAACCTCAGATATCTTTCTCTGGAAGAATTCTGACCTATACTGTGTGAGCATGTTTCTTGTTTTAATTATACAATTGATGTCAGTTAATTATAGAAAAATTAGAAACTATAAAGTGATAAAAAAAAAAAAAAAGAAAATTGTAACCATACATAATCCCATTACTTGAGATTTCCATTATTAGTAAATGAGTATATATCCTTCCTGAATTTTGGTGTGACTACTCAGCCCACAGTGACCCGGCTTTCTCTGAAAACTTCCCCCAGTTCATATGACTATGGTCACAGCTGCAATATAACCCAGAGGAGAGGCTGCACACTGGGACAAGGGGACTCCAGAAGAAAGTCTCAGGTACTTTGATTAGAATTGATACCTGAAACAAATGGATTTGAATTACAAAGGGTGGGCTTGCATTAACCTCATCTTTTTTTATTTAATTCTAGGAACATAAATTTGTGAGTAGGCTGAAAGTCAAGCCCAAATAATCAGATCATTACATTACCCATGAGATAAAATGGAAAATAATGCCCATAGTAAGAATAAACAGACATGGTTACTAGGCTGCTGTAATGTTCCATCTTTTCAGCCACAAAGTAACTAAGCCTTGAAAAATAATACAGATGAAGACATCTGTTATTGCACTAGTTAGAGTTCCAATTAATTCTGGATACAGCCAACTGGCCTGGCTAAATATCTGCAGCTCAACTGGAATCCTATAAAAGTGAACTGTCCAGAACTTTAAATAGGTAGTTCATAAAACAATTCAAACTGGCAGCTTGCTGTCAGGATTTGGTCTACAGCTCTAGATAAACATGCTCACCGCTGAGAGCAAGTGTCCTTGAATACTGTATTTCTACAATTGGAAAGTAGAAAAAGAGGATTAGAACAAAGCTACCAGCACTTAAAATCATGTTGCTTCAAAAAGAATGTCTTAAGTGACTCAATCTATATAAAGTCATTTTGACCTCTTCATAAATCAGTATGTGTATACACCCAGAATTGGTATATAAGACAATTGTCCTCAGAAGTCAGTTTTTATCTTACTACTGCTTAGAATTAGGACTATATCTATATACACATATATATAATATATATTTCTTTGCCTTTCATAAATCATAAAATGATAAAAGCAGACCTAAATTTAAAGCCAGAGTTGATTTAAGGGAAAATATTAGCAATACTATATTCAAATGAAAGTTTGGGGAAAATGCCATATACTTTCTGTCAGAGTTAATAGAAACAGAAATTATTATGTTCATCATCTCCTTAAAGTACTAGGCTTCCCAACATTTTCCCTCCATGGCATTCATAAAAAACATTTGCTCAAACCATTAGCACAAACCAACAAGGATGCTCACAGCGTGAGATGACTGGCAGCCCCAGGACTCAGCTGGCTGGCAGAAGGCTGGCGCATCTGTAACACATCTGCAGTACACTGACTGGAAAACTCTTAGACTCCTCAGGATCTTCCTTATCCTGTATCCCATTCTCCCCACCCCCCAAAATGCTTACAGCTGTACTCCAACTCTGTTCTCCACCATAGTACTGAAATGGACACTGAAAAGTAGAGGAAGGTAAAATGTCCAAGAGATAAAGGTGGGGGGGAGCATCTTGACCACCTTATTCATAGCCACTAAACTGTCTTTTTGAAGTTAGGATTATATTACTTTCATCTCTGTATCCCCTATAGTACCACATACAGTATCTTGTGTATAGTTGTTGCTCAAAGTTTACTGGATTGAAACTTTAGGTACCCACCACTACCTCATTTTTAGTCTTGCAATTCTAAGGATCATAATTAGGGCTTTAGATATACTTTAAAATATATGATAAAAATATTTTTCATAAAAGGGAGACTGTGATACTATTTACACATTTGCCTTTAATAAATCTTAAAATGATAAAAGCAGATCTAAGTTAAGACCCAGAGTAACAGACGTCAAAAGCAATTCACTATTTTCCCGACATTAATAAGTTATTTTTTGGTTGAAAGTTCAAGTCAAAATTAAAACCCCAAGTTGATCTAAGCTTCAGTTTTCTTAATTGTAAAATGGAAAATAGCAATAATAGTATGTACCTGATAAGGCTGTGCTGTAAAGATTACATAAAATAATGCATAAAGAATGCTTATTATAGTGCCTGACATAGAAGCAGCTCTAACATTTCAGCTATTACTTTCATCATCGACTTTACTCCATTAAACACACGGGCTCCTGACATAACTTTTGCTGCCTTGATAAGAATACTTTCTTATCAAGTATTCAATGAATACAAAGATTACAGAGTACCATTAATTAAAAAAAAATTGTAAATGTATGGTTCTGTGTGTGAGCTGAACAATTTTCCCCTAATGTAAATAAACAGCACAACGTACTTTTTCCATTCTTTTTCTTTCCACAAGAACCATAAACTTTCTCTTTAAAATTTAAATAGTATCAAAATAGAGACTATTTAAATGAATCAATATGGCCTTTCAAACAATCTTCTTCATACATTAAAATGTCAGTTTGACTTACAGTAGAAATGTACATAAAGAATGAGCTGACATTTTAATACAATAGCAACATTTTGGCCTCCTCTCTTTGAGTCATGTCACAGATGCCACTCTTGAATCACTAATGGTAAGGTAAAAGATGAAACACATACTATATATCTAGACAATATTTTCATATTGACTATTACAAATGAAAGACCTTGAAAACATTAAAACATTTTTTTAATTCTATAAAAATCTATGGTATTTGAAGATTTCCTTTCTTTTTTATTGCTGAAGATGATTTGCCCTGAGCTAATGTCTGTTGCCAATCTTCTTTTTGCTGAGTAAGATTTGTCCTGAGCTAATATCCGTTGCCAATCTTCCCATTTTGGTATGTGAGCCGCCTCACAGCATGATCACTGATGAGCAGTGTAGGTCCACGCCTGGGAACCAAACCTGGGCCACTGAAGTGGAGCATGCCAAACTTAACCACTAGGCCACCAGGGCTGGCCTCTGAACAAATAACTTTTAAGATAAAAGACTTTTTATTCAAATTAGACAATTTCAGATACATGAAAGTTTACATTTGAGTAAACATTCCCTACAAAAAAATCTGACTTTAATGTTATTCTTAACTTTACAGAGGCTGTTACAGATACCACTGATGTCTCCATTTGTATTTATTCTCAACAGTAGAAATAATTGTTCACAAATTATCAACAAGGCAGAAAAGTCAGTTTTGTTTGGGACGTGTATTCTCTAAGATTTAAGATTTAATTATCTGAAGCAGATTTGGAATTAGAATTCTTTGTAGTTCCAGTCTCTTCCGGGTAATTTTTTAAAAAAATGCTATTATCTATATATTCTATTCATGAACCTGGAATTATGAAATGAAAATATTGGAATCTTCTTTAAAAAATTGCTTTAAGATGATACATATTGCCCAAAGTCTCAAATCTTTTTTAAGTTCCCTTTGAAGACTAATCATTTGAAATATACGTAAAAATGGAAAACCACTGATTAGAAAATTAGGAATTACATTTTTTCCCCTTGTCATTTTCAAAGCTATTATATAACTATAAACTTAAAATATAAAGTTGAGCTTGTATTTGCCCAGTTATGGAATGTGTCAGTGATAAACCAAAGCAGTTTTGTTAAATTGCACTGTTGTCATTAAAGAAGTGGCTGCACATGACACTCAAGGCCAATGGCCTCAGGGACCGTTGGAGAAGATGAGTGGTCAAGGACTAAAGGTCTTCTGTTCCAAATTAAAACAAAGCAGCGGTATTTTGTTACATACTGGGATTCTATGTAAGATATTGTCTAAAAAATAGATTTCACAACTAAAAACAAAAAAATTCTGAAAACTACCAATCAAAGAAAGGAACAGACATCTATCAGAAAAAACCCTCACGGACTTGCTAATGGTTCTTCTTTCTTCCTCAAGAAATTGTCCAGGTAGAGCAAATCCAAGTAATAAATATTTTTCCCCCTATTATTCTACCAAGATATTTTTTGTCACATTTCATCTAACTTCACATCATGTTCCTTGATACAAGATTTTTTAAACTGTAGTTAAAACACTGACTCTAAGCTGGCAAAATGTGTTTGGATAAATATTAAAACAAAAGTTTAAAACAAGTTTTAAGTTCAGTTTATAACAAAAATTTTGAGTTCAAACACAAAAACAAAATTTTCTTTGTCATTGGTTAATTCTTTTAAAAGTACACATTCCAGAAAAAAGTTATCAAATGTTTGAGCAAGTCTGAGGGGAGAGAGGGAGGGAGGGGTGAGATACTTGAGCTGGGCATTGAAAAATTGCCAAGACTGGGGGATTAAAGAAATGGTCAAATAATTTTCCAGGAAAAAAGGACCAGAATGAGTAAAGTATAGATAAAGGAAAGAACTGTTTCCAAGGAACGGAAAACATCTCAATTTGGCTGGGACATAGGTGAGGGACAATGATAGGAATAAGATTGTTAATTTAGGTTATGATCAGATAATGAAAAGTTGTCAACATCATATTAAGAACTTGGGCTTTTTTCAGTAAAAAAATTAGGGAGTAACAGCAACGGTGATTTCAAATATGAAACGCACCCCCAGAGATATTAGAGAGGTAGAACAAAGAGAATTCAGCAATGGATTGGAAGTTAAGTGGATAAAAGAAAAAGACATCAAAGATGATGCTAAAGTGGAGTCTGGATATGAACTGTTAAGGATTTAGGAGTTTTAAGCTAAAGGACTTTCAATACCTACACACTGATGTGTTTATGTCAAGGGACGTTCAAAAGAATAACCAAGATACTTGACAGATACAAATTTTATTTTTCATGCTAAAATTTTTACAAATTTTATTGTCATACACAATTACAAGAGTAACAGTTACAAGTGAATTAAAAAAAATAGCATTTGGGGGCACTTCTATTCATTTTACTATCATAAGCATGTTTTATTACATGAATAGCAACAATAGTTACAGAACTGTTCAACTTGGAAATTCAATAAGTGTGTTATGATAGAGGGTAATACATAATATAAACGAAGAGTAAGTGCCTGAACATAGTTTTACGGTCTATACTACTCTTTATTCCACAGTTAGAATCATGGGTTAGAATCTACCCAGTAATGCCATCATTCAGATATTTGACCAGGCAGGTCAAGTCAGCAATCAATTCAAATCATTTTCCAAAATCTTACTTAATTTAGTTCTACAAGGAAATATAAGTAAAATACACAAGACATGACTTGCTGGTATTTTTCACCTGAAACAAACCATTACATATTCAAAGTATGCATCTTGTGCAACTTGGCATTTGTTCCATCTCACACAATTAAAAGATGAATAGTACTTATAGCACTTAGAATCACCCAACTACAGCTGATACAGTATCTCCCAGACTTCTAGCTTCTAAAACTCTGGGGGAAGTGGGACAATTTGAACTGTAACAGTCTACATGGTAGTAATATTACCTCTTGGCCATTGGCCCAATACTAATCCTTTTTGTTTTTTAGTATACAAAATATGCTGAAAACATTTCTCTTAAACACATTTCAATTAATGTAATTAAACAGAAGGCACAGCTTCCTTCTACAAGAGTTAGATTTAGCTATGAAAAACTTGCCATATATTTATTAATTTATGGAATATTTTTAAGGTCAACACAGACTATACTGTATTTTTTAATTTAGAGCCTGTGCTAAACACATGTAAAAAGAACTACAAACGTGATCTCATTAGTAGTTAAAAAAAAACCAAAAACAGAAATTTCCACTTTCATCCCTATAATAACTTTTAAATATATCCCTTGCTTTTATCCAAATTAAGGATAAATTTAAATCCACTGTGAAATTTACATTCTGACTAAGCACAAAAATACACAAATATTAGTTCTAATCAGAAATTTCAGCTGACAAGTGAAAATTTTTACTTTGAAATAAGTAGACCTCAGATATAGAAGTGAAATTTTTGATGGAAGTACACTCCAAATATATTTTGTTTTCATGTAAAAATAAATTTTTTTAAGGAAATAATGTTTAACAGTCTTTTTACTCTACCTTCTCAAACACATATAGTTTCCTTAAAATAAAGGTTCAAGATGAACATCTTATTTCAAATCTGATTTTACAAAAAAGAGAGAAATAAAATTAATTATTCTTAGATGTATTTGAGCCAAGTAGTTGCTACTTCCAGACGTTATGAGCTTAAATATCATGACATTATGGTAAGTAACCTTTGGCTTACAATCTAATAACTTTACAAAATAACTTGAAATTCGATTCGTACTGCTTATCAAAGAAGACTGATAAGTACTTGTAAATTTAAAATTCTATCTTTTAAAAAGAAAAACAGCCTATCTAACAGATAAGTATGAATATTTTAAAAATCAACAATAAACCAGTTTTATTATATCAAAGACCTACAAAATAATAAAATATCCCAATAGTATTTTTGAAAATACTATCAAAAACCTCAGTCTCATATAGTAAATGCAACAACCAATATACTTTTACAAATTAAGCATTTTCAAAGACTGGAAAGAAAATATGCTAATTGTAAGAGCAATGATGCTTGAGTCAAACAAATCTGTTCTGAACCTCAAATCTGCTACTTGCAAGCTTAGGTGTATTTTTTAACTTCTCTAAAACTCAATTTTCTCAGATATAAAGGTACTGACAGTATCTACCTTAGATGGTTTGAAGAATAATAAGATAATGCACATAAAATTAGTACAGTATCTGACACAGGAAGTAACCAATAAATATTAGCTATTACTGAGCAGTGACTTACTTAGGGGTCAAGTACCTAAGAAAACATTTTCTTAAATAAGATATAATTATTATATAAAGAATTATTTTAAGAACTTAAAAAAAACAAAATGCCATGGGAGAGAGTTGGGGACACGCCCTCCAATGAAATATCCAGAATTATATTTCAATAATGATAAGGCTAAGATCACAAAGGATTCATCAGGCTATGTTTGAAGTTTCCTAAGTCACTTCTATTCTGTTTTGGCAGTCACTTCCTATCTATTTTAACACTGCACTGTGTTATTTCCAAACTACAATTCAGAAGATCTGATGTGAATTTTGTTTCCTTCTCATGAATTTTTAGAGAAAATAATCACGTCATTAGCCTAAACAAATAAAAAAGGCATAGAAAAATGCACACAAATAAAATCAGTCATTTACATGTTATGTACTACAGTAAAGATGGTTATTTAACAATTTCAAGCAATATATCTGGTATCTAATACTTTAAAACTGTTCTTATTTCAAATCTCAAATACATTACTCTCTATTATTGATAAATAATCTACTGATAATGCATCAGTTGTATTTTTATTGGAATGATCACAGAAGACTAAATTTTAACAGAAAAATTAAGTAAAAATTATGCTCCAAAATATTTTACAAGTGCTCATTTCCCATTTAAAATATTTCAGGTACCAACTTAAAGGTAACCATATCTTATTCCATCACTATCATTTTGATTGTCACTATTAACTACGTGAACATTTTCTTTAATTTTTAATCATACTAACCTGAGTCAACAGGGCTTCCCAACGGATATTTTAAATGATAGAGCACAGATATGGGATATGGGAGACAGAAAAACTAGGTCTGGCTCCAATTAAACTATTTACTAAATATGTGATCTTCAGCAAGTCCCTCAACTTCTCCATGCCTCTCCTTCTTCAAGATGAGGATTCTACCACCCTCCTTGTCTGACTCACAGGATTATGGGAAATCATGTAAGAAAAAAGATATCAAAGAGCTCTGAAAAGAACATAGTGCTATATACATGTAATATCAACACACAGAGGCTTGTTAGAATCTTGGATTTGGTTAGAACGAGGAGTCTAAAAGATGCAATTTAAGAGAAAGCTACTCTTGAAAGTATTAGAAAAAAATATGTAACATCTTTACCATTTCCTTTGGATAAGGTCTGAGAGCAGTGTTAAAAATATAACAATACCTAACCTATTACCATGTCAGAAACCACAGTGGATAAGGACTTGAGAAAAGTTAAAGCCTCATTCATTCTTTCCAGATATTTTTTAATGGCTATAATTCTGCTTCGCCAGAATGTGTTTTTATAGTTTTATTAATTTATAGCTTGCTTTGTTTTCGGCTTATTCCAGCAGTTACTTAACCCTCTCTGAAAGTAGTCACGGGTGATCTTTATTTCTCTACTACTTGTTTTTTATTTATTTTAAATTCTACTTTTTGCAGACAAACTCCATGGAAAGTAGGTGTAATAAAGTTTTAAAGAATGAAGACAAAATATTCAATAACAAGTCACTAAAAGTACATGTTGCCTCACTTTCTCACCTCTTCAGCAAATACTATGCATGTACTCTAAAAGGATATTAGAACCACAAATCAACAGAAAAATCCATTTAATTTACACTACATAATTTTCCAAGATTTAAACATACAAAGTAGGAAAATAAATCAGGATTGACTTTTGAGGGAGGCATACCTGAAGGATGATTTTGGAGAAAAGAATGGTGATTTTGAAGTAAACGGAATATAAGGAAATATTTTAACATTTTTTGATTTCACACAGAGTCACTGAAATACTATTATCTCTAGGTCACTAGCTATATGAGAAATTATATGGGTGACTGGTCAGGTATGTAGAAACAGATTTGGAAGCCCTATTACAGGTGATCATTGAAGTCACAGGAGTAGAGGTTTTGAGGCAAAAGGTCTAGATAATACTCATTAAAAGATGTCACAAGATAGAAAATGAGGGAAAATGAAATAAGAATTATTGAAAAATACAAATAGAATCAATATATTAGAGAAATGTGCAGTTTCAAGGAGAATGGAGTAGTTAAAAAAACAGCAGAAGAAAAACATTAAGACTGGGTTTGACTAGAAAGAAAGTCCATAACAAATGTAAAGGGGTGATTTTAGTTTAATAGTGAGGACGGATGAATTAGCAGTAGATTAAAGGAAGACTAAGTAATTCAAAAATGAAGTTAGTGCATCCCACCTATTTAAAATGTTCACTCAGGAAAACATGGAGAAAATGATATGAAAGAAATGATATCAAAGCTAAGAGGAGACCAGAGTGTGTGTTTCAAGGCAGAAAGGAGAGCTTCATTAGCTCTAAATAATTAAATAAAACTTAGGTTTTATAGTTGAGAGAGTCCGACTGATAAAACAGGTATATTTTTAAACCTAGGTTAGGCACTTTGTATGGGAAGAGGAGGAACCTGATTTCTGTCACTAGGGAACAGAAAGAAATTAATCTCAAGCCACTTATTTGTTCTGGTATCACAGTCAGCCCCTATGCTGAGTGGTATGTATTTAAAAGGTACTTAGAACTTGATAAGTGAAAAGGCAAAAAGCCCAAATGGAAAATGGTAATGAAAATATAAACCAGCAAAGTAAGTCAAAAATTTACACTTGAAAACAATTTTAAATAAAATCCAAACCCAAAGTAGAAAGCTTTAAAAATGTAACTGCTAGAGGCATGATATGCACGTGATGTGTAAAGTAGTTAAAATTTTAAAAGCATAATATAGGTTTTATTTTGATATAACCACTATCATTTAATGACAGGATTTCTTGAATAATTTCTACCAAAGAAATAATTTCATCCTCTAAAACATTCATAAAATTAATGACTTGGGTACCTAATAGTTGTGAAAAATAAGTGTCTTCACAATTTCACAATTGTTCAGTATGAAAAGCAACATTAAAAAAAAGTGGAGTTTCAAAATATTTTATTTCCAATCTACTTTATGCCTGATCCAATATGTAATTGGAACCATATTCACATTCTACAGGTTTCTGAATTTCATTTTCCTGTTTTATTTAGTTTATGAGCAACTTACTTTATTTTGAATCTGTACCACTTTGACATTTATTAAAGCTATATAACAGCCATGCAAAATTTATTTACAATATTGTACAATGAATGACCATGTTTGAAGATTACAAAAAATTTCACAAAACTGTAACTAATATGGCAGGACCTGTGAAACACACTATTTAGGGGCTTTTAAAAATTTTAGGTACAGAATTTTGCAAAGATTATTTTGACTTATAAGTGTTACACAAGCACTGGCTTGAAATAAGACTGACCAAAATATGCAAATGAGAATTTCAATAAATGAAAAATTAAAATGTTTAGCTAAAAGCTAAAATATCATATAGTTGAAATACTACCACGTAGCAATGAGAATTTATAAAACAGGGAAAAAAAGGTCATTTTTTAAAAGTCTTCCATGAATAATAGGCTCTTAGTAATATTTTATAAAAACATTCAGAAACAAACTTTCTCAAATTATATTCATCACCAAAATTATGTTTTCAGTAGTGATTGGAGCTGCGAATTTTAAATGATCATTTATTGTTCTTATAAGGGAAGTCTCGGTTTTTCCCTTTGGGGACAGGGGGTTGGGAGGAAAATCAATCAGTAAATTTAGATTCATGTAAAAGACCCTGGTACAAATATCATGAACACAGAGTGGAGAGTTGCAATAACTTGCAAGCCCACATACTTTTAGCTGTACTCTTAAAAGAGTGTAAACTTTAGGTTTGTTCAATTTAAGATTTATCAGGAAGTAAGTACCTCATCCTTTAGAGTTTGGGAAAAAGCAATAGACATTTCTTCGTCTCCAGCTGCATCTCTTCCAGTTTTTATTGTTGTGGCTGAAGTACATTTAGATATTCAGACTGCCCCAACTGATAAGTTGTGTTCCTTCCACAATCAACATACTGGTACCTCTCCTGGGATATCTGTTCAGAGTGTCCAAAGTATGTCGTTGTCACAGTAACTCTAAAAATAAAATAAATGACAAGAATCACTGAATAGTTATATATTAAAAAGTTTTCTAAAGTGAGAATACTTTTATACATCAAAATTCTCGAGATTATTTGATTAAGGATAACTTAATATTGCAGACACAGTCCTCTTAGGGAATATTTCCCCACCAGACAAAAGAAATGCTGGCTGAGCAAGCCCTATCCAAATAATTATATACAACAAATGTAATTTTTTCAAAACATCTATCTTTAGTTAAAAATATATGTTCACTACACTCTTAAAAATAATCATACAGTTCTACCATAGGAAAAGGGTTAATCAAATGTCAGCTAATGGCTCAAATACCAAACGTACAACCTACAATGTTGCAATGGCTTCGGACCAACACCTAACTTACATTACTTCTGCACATTACTGTTCACATTAACTGGTTACCAGAGGCAGCAAGGAATCGGATGTTGAGCCCAGTCCTCTCTATTGCAACCCCTGCCATTTTCCTGAGTTCTTTCAAGGTCTATATTCACTATCTAGCAGTCATGTGAACCTTCACCATTCTGAGCTCCCATTACTTGACCTCATAGCACTCTTGTAAGGCTTAAAACCCACTTGAGATGGTATTTGTAAACATGTGTATGCTCTAAGCCAATGTTATAAATCTAAAGTTTAAACAAAGAAGTATCTCTTTAAAAAAATTTCATACTTACTGCATCATGAGTACTATGTTATGCACTTTGATGGATATCAGTGTACAGAAATCGCTGTTAAAGGAAAAACAATGTGAATAAATGCAAATCACAATACAATAAATTTAAAAAAATTAAGATTCCTCCTCCTATGTTAAAGCTAACAGAGATATTATTAAGAAGATAAAATAACTAAGCATTTACTGGTTGAGCATTTTCTATATCAAATAATGATTAATATTTTCATGACTTCTTATTCTTTTTTCTTTTTAAAGACTGGCACCTGAGCTAACATCTGTTGCCAATCTTCTTTTCCCTTTTTCCCCCTTCTTTTCTCCAAAGACTCCCATACACAGTTGTATATTCTACTTGTTAGTGCCTCTGTTTATGCTATGAGGGACGCCCCCTCAGCGTGGCCTGATGAGCGGTGCCATGGCCCGCACCCAGGATCCGAAGCGGCGAAACCCTGGGCCGCGTGCATGAATTTAACCACTCGGCCATGGGGACGGCCCCAGAAAAGGTAATGCTTTCCTACTACTACATTTGTAGAATTGTTTTAACATGAGCTACAGATTACTATTTTTGTTCGCCTTTTGAAATTTCAGTAACCAGTTTATTCTATATCAGGCTAATATCAAAGATAATGAAAATTTATCATTATTTTTTACTTAAGAGTTAGTAATCATTTCAACTCAATTTAAAAGCTTCAGAATCAAACTCTTAATAGAGTATTATACATTATTTTTAGTCCTTCTATAGCAAAACATCAACAAATACTACAATATATGAGAATATGAGTCTCATAACATAGTAAATAAAAAGTGACATGGTGTATATGATCCTAATTTTGAAAAATATAAAACAAATTTTATGTGTATAGGTGTATGTACATAAACATTATGTATGTCGGAAAGGGATGATTAGAGGCCAGAAGGAATATTTCAAAATGTCTTGACTATTAAGATTATGGAAAATTAAAAAAAAAATACATACACAGACACACACACACTTTATTCTTCATACCTTATAATGAGAGAAAATTATTAAAAATCAGAACTTACAACATATAACTCATTTCCTCTGCTATGACAGTAGGTACTGTGTAATCAATCTGAAAGGCAAATATTGAAAATAAAGCAATAGAGAATAGAATCAAAACTTTAAGTATTTCAGATACATTTCATAACTTCAAAAAATTTAGAAATCTCTCCCTTTAGGAGAGTTTGATTCTAAGACCTTCTCTTATACATACATGGGGTATACCTCAAAGTCAAGTTTGTGAGGAAATCCCCCCCTTCTTCAAGTTAATATGATATACAAAGTTGAGACTCATTTAACTCCTCCAAAGTATTTCATGACCAAAGCTTACCTGTTTCATATCCAGCGGACCAATAATGGTTATGTTGTTTAAGCGTGCCTTTCCAATAACTGTTTTTGAAAACTGAACTTGTGCAGTAATGTTTTCAACTTCAACAGAATAATAGTTATTGTTTGTTATATTTAGTGTGTTCTGTGAAAGAAAGAAGGCAGAAAATATGCAAGTTATCCAAAAATAAGCATAACAAATATGTACTCAACATTAGCAAAGAAAATGACTTCACTTGTAGCCATGCTTCATTTATTAGGAGGAAGAAATGTATCACCAAAAATGTCAAAGAACACTAAGTGAACCAATTAGTATCACGCATGAGCACTATGTATATAACATGCCTAAAATAAACACACAATTAAGAAAAAATAGGCCCAGAAAATGTATAGTACAGGAATACAGAAAAACAAATTTAGAAGATATATCTGTGGCCTTAGCAAAATCTCAACAAAAATAATTTTAAAATTTCATTTAAATTTTTACTAAATGTTAATATATACATGTCTCCACTGACTATATTAGTAAGTTATTTCCTATTAAATACAGAGATGACCATTTAAAATGTTAAATAGTACTCTACATAAACTTTTTTATTTAAGAGAAATTGATATTTTAACTAATCCTCGAATAGAGGTTTCACCAGGTCACTTTGGAGAAGAAATGGGATAGACTTATGCTTGTTTGGTTGGAAAAAAATGCAGCTGCATCACTTCTATAGTTATTTAGGTAACAGCTGGAGCAAACTTCTGCAACTCTAATACACAACTGTATCAAATTACTTTAGGAAATAGTCAATAAAAATAAGAAAGAAAAAATACTAAATCAAGAAATAACAGATATAAATAAAACATCTAAAAGCCATAGCAAAAGAAACCAAAATCAATAGACACTAAGTGATAAATCTTGAAGAAGTATTCATAAGGCAGATAGTAATGGTTACCATCTACACCAAGAGCCCTTACAAGTTGAAAAGGAAAAGAGAAAGCCTCAACAGGAAAAAAGCAAAACAAGAACAAAGGATATGAGTGAGCCAATCAAAAGAGTACAAATATAAATGGCCAAGGAACCTTAAAAATTCTCAAATTCATTTATAGTCAGGGAAAAGTTGATTTAGGTAAAAATGAATATTGCTTTATATCCATTAAACTAGTAAAACTTGTAGAAAGCAAAAAATTCTATTTCTGGCAGGGATATGGGCAAAAGGATATATTTTTACATTTTTGGCAAATTTGTCAAGGATTACAGCCATTTTGATAACTAATCCAGCAATATCCATTAAAATAAAAATTATGGATATCATTTGACCTACAATCCTACTTCTGAGCATTTGTTACACAGAAATAAAAACACTAGGATGTTAATGACAGTGTTATTTGTAGTCGCAAAAAAAACCCAAAACAAAACAACCCTGAAAATAAAGTGAATGCCCATCCATAAAAAGAATGATTGAATAAATAATATTAAGTCATTGCATGGAATATTATGTAGCCATTAAAAAGAACAGATTAACCCTATGCCAGAAAATCAGGAGAGATTTCTAGAAGGTATCAACATGTGAGAAAACCAAAATGCATAAAAGCATGTAGAAAATATTATATTTTGAAAATAAATGCCAATTTAAGAAAAATAACATGAGTTTATCTATAAGTTAATGTGACTATGGAGAAAGATATGGAAAGATGCAATATGGGAAAGGAGAGAAAGGACTCTTAGTTTACATGATCACATTTACGCATTCATTTAAATTATTATAGTAACAAATGCAAAGAAATTTTTTAACTTCCAGATAATTTTAGTAGAAATAACCTTTATCTAAACATATAAACATTTTCACCTACTTGGCTCTTAATCCCCATGCAGGATTCATTTCTAGACACTATAAGAAAGGGACTGCTAAGTTGAGGTCAACAGACCTTCTTATCCAGACCAAGGAATGGGATTCAGGAGAATCTTGGAATTGTATATACATGCAAAATATGGTTGGTATGTGTCTTTTCTTCTGAAGTGTGCATAACTTTCATTAGGATATTAAAGGAATCAATGGTGCAAAACAGGGTGAGAACAAAAATACTTATGAGAATTAGGAAAAGATACATTGGGAGTTAGAAAGAAAATATAAACATCAAGAAAGAGAAGAAAAAATAAGATAGGACAAAAAAGTTTAGTACTAAAGATGAGATATTTTATTGCTGAGAGCAGTGAGAATCCATTTAATTTGTAAGTCAAGGGACCACAATCATATGCTTTTAAACAATCATGATTTATTATCAAAGGCCTTAAACTATCTATGATCTTTAACTGGCAAATTTACTTTCTGGAATTTATCCTGAAGATATAACCTGAAATGGAAACAAGGTTTAAGCACACAGATGATTTCTGAATAAATATTTGTAACAACAAAACTAAACATCTATATAGAAAATCGTTGACTAAATTGTAATACAGCCATGTAAAAAGACTACATGTGACCACTTAATATGGGAAACTGTAGTGAGAGCTCAATTAACTTAAAATGTGCGTGTGTGTGTATGTACATGTGTATCTTTATACACATTTGAAAAAGTCTGATTACATTTGTCAATGTGTATATATATGTATGCAAATGTATATATGCACTGTTAGCAAATATAGGTACATGTTAATAGTTAGGTCTAGGCTAGGCAGTAGAAGTAAAAATTTTTATACATTACAGTATTTTTCAAATATCTTTTAATTAAATGTTTTTATTATTAGAAAGAATAAATTTTACTAAAAAAGAGTAAGTAGTACTAATATATTTTACTCATTTTAAAAAACAAAATTATATAATTCCTTTTTTCAAAATACTCATACAGAACCTACAGAAATCTCAGCCTCTTTTCTCACTGTCATCTAGTCAAACCTAATGCTCATCTATATAATAATCCTATTTCTTATTTAATGTTCAGTCTTTCTCAATTTAGTCAAGTGCTAGTATCCCAAAATGTGGAAATTCCTGAAGAATTATTTAAAAGTATGGTATTTACATTTAAATACATTTTTTGGTATTTAAAAGGGAACTGCACGTGGCTTTTATTTTTTATCATATGTTTACAATATTCAATACTAAAACAGGCTCTGGAGGTTGGCCAAAAAGATCTGGCCATTGTTTTAAATACTGTACCTAAAAAGGAAAATATGTTCCTTGTTCCAAATGGCTGTTAAGGTAGGGAAACACCCAACAATTCCCCAGTCATATGAAATGATTTACAATTAGCATTGTGTTATATGTTTCATGCACATACATATTTTTTTCATAGATAAGGTTTTTTTCTAAAAGCCCTCAGATTGACAACTTTTGACAGTAAACAATGAGGTTGAAGGTTCCACAGGAGTTTTTTTTTTTCTTGTAATTAAGTAGTAACCATACCATTTAACTTTAACCATACCATTTCCTTTCAGTTCCTGTTCCTCCAAACCTCCCTCCTCCCAACCACTACCAGAGACATCTCTATTTCAACTTCAACCATACCAGCCACTTCTGAAAGGAAAACCAAGGAAAGTCTAATATCACTCTTCCAAACAAATCACTGCCACACAGATACACTGTGAGACCTGAAGCCATAAATGATTGCTAATGGCATGATCAATATATATCATTTTCCTTTTTAATAATACAGTGTTTTGCAAACCTTGTTTTTTTCTAACAAATGTTAACATGTAAAACATGTAGAAAACCCCCTCTGAAGCTCCGTTTGCTTGTTTGTTTTTTGTTTTCAGGAGTGGGGAGACTGTAGAGTCCTGAAAACCACTGTCCTGGGAAATACAGAGGATATTTCACACCTACTAACTTACAAGAGACATCAAACAGTCACTGGTACTTTATCTTTAAGCACAACAAAGGAATAGTCTGTTAAAGATGGCAAAAATTACACTTTACAAAACATAAAGAAATGAAAATGTTACATTAATAATATCTATCAAATCAACAATGTTAACACCTTGCTAGGAATTATTCAGAGTAAACTGAAAAGTAAACAGACTATAAATACTTTATTTGCTAGCAATTAATTGTTTAGCTTATTCTACCCTCCTAAAGGCAGGTGTTTAACCTCCTAAAGGTGATGCTTAACATCATAAAGGAACAAAGTAAAACATTTTTCATGTAAATTTTTACTTACTGTGATATTTAAATATATTGTACGCTTCTGAACATCATAACTGACATATGCTGATTTTACACCAATGTATTTCACGTCGATAGAGCGAGGGAAAAGGAAAAACACAGCCAGTCCCGAAAGGAGCAGACAGACAAACACAGAAGCCATCACATACAGTTTTCTGAAAAGGAAAATGGACTATTTAAACATATGTGCATCAAAAATTACATAACGAAACACTTAGGATATCTTCAACTTGAATTTTTCTCCTATCTATTAATACCAGCAGGAAAAGATATATTGTATTGTACCAGCTTTTTACATTATAAAGTATTGAGTAGGCTTGGGTCTGAGTCTATTAAGCATTAAAATCTTCTTAAAAGATGTATTTACCTTTTTGGAGACTAGGATTTCAGGCTTATTATAGATAGAACATTACTGCACTGATTCCCAAACCAGGCTGCACATTAGAATGAAGCTGGGGAGCTTTTTAAAATATAGATTTCAAGACTCCCTTTTGAATTCACTGAAGCAGAATTTTCACATGTGAGTTTTGCCAATCTTATGACTCCTTAAAGTAACTGCTCATCAGAAACACCTGTGAAGCTCTTAAAAAAATAATGATACAACCACATGCCTCATCAATCTCACTGACTGACACAGTCCTTGAGTCTCCTCATCCCAAGGTATTTATGTACTCAGTTTTAAAAATATTGTTTACATTAATCAACTCTGTTTTGAAGATGTTGTTAAACTCTGTCTTTAAAACCAGGAAAGGGGGATAATATTATGCAGGTACAAGACAAGAATAAAATAAACTTTCCATGTCTTTGCTATTAATTCTTAATTCTCAAGAACGTTTTCACTGTTATCTAATTATCCCAATGGCTAAACCATTAGTCATCTGCTCATTAAGTGAAATATGTAAAATGTCCTCTACAATGTCTGGTACATAAAGGGGTTCATTAAATATTCTCACCTCTTTTAAATTTTATCTTTCAAAATAAGGATATTAAGAATTCAATCAACTCCTTTATACATGTATAACACTAAAGAATTTGGCATTAGAATCCAGGACCAAAAGCTGCCCTAGGTAGCTGGCTTATTCTTTGGGTGGAGAGTTAGATGGCAATTACAAATTGGGCAAGCACTAAAATATTTTACAAGAGCATTTGACAAAAACATCACTCCCTCTTTTGTCCCAGTTCAGGGCACTGCCCATATAATCCCAGAGTGTGTGTGTGCGTGTTTCTGTTTCAGAGTATGAGTTTGACCTATTCTTTGTTTTTTCTTATACTCATGGTCACTTAACAACAGTGATAGACATTGAGAAATGTGTCATTAGGTGATTTCATCATTGTGTGAACATCATAGAGTGTATTTACTCAAACCTAGATATTATAGCCTAGGCTGTATGGTACTAATCTTATGGGACCACTGTCAAATATGCAGTCCACCACTGACCAAAATGTCATCATTCAGCAGATGACTGTATAATTTTGCTAGATAATACCACATTCCCCTTCACTAGCAAGGCATGATTGTGCTTGTTTTCACACAGTATTACCAACAAAATATATTGACAAACTTCTGGATATTTGCTAATCTGATAAGAAACAGTATCTCAATGTCATTTAATTTGCAATTCTCTCAGGAGCAAGTTGGGACGTCTTTTCATATGCTTAAAGGACATTTGCATTTCTTTTCTTCTGAAACAGCCATTCACAGCTCTTACTCGCTTTTCATTTGGTGGTCAGCTTTTTTCTTCTCAAATTGTAAAGCTCTTTAAAGAGTAAGGATATTGGCCCTGTTTGTAATAATCATTTACAGATATCACTTCCCAGTTTGCCATTTGAATTCTGACTTCAATTACGGTTTTGTTTTCATCTTGTAAACATTAACCTAATACTTTGTTAAATTTATTCATCTTTTCTTTCATCACTGGATTCTGAATCATAGTTGGAAATATTTTTCCACTCTCAGGTTATAAAGGAATTAGTTCCGATTTCTTACATATTCATAACTGTCTTCATATTTTATAATAAAGGGTCAGATTGACTATTTTTAAAATCCCTTTCCACAAGGCTTAGATATGTGGCTCTACTGCTTTCTTGTTTGAAGCACTGTCACCAAGAAGTAGCATGCCAATCTGATTTTCTATCGCTTATAAATTAATTGATCCTTTGGCATGGGCACTCAAAGGAGTTTTTCTGGGTTTACTGTGGGTTTTTTTTCACCTTCCAAGTCGAGTGATTTCACTAGGATGGGTTGATTGTTTTCAGAACTATGGTATCCCTTTTCAATATGTAGGTTCACTACTTTTTTTACTTCAGGCAAGTGTTCTTGAATTAAATGTTTAGTATTTATTCAGCTTGACTCCTTTGATTTTCTTCAGACTCCACTTACACGTATACTCAACCTTCTTTGCCTGTGTTCTATACCATTTTCTCTCAAATTCTTTTCATTAATTTATGCTCTTCTGTCATAACTTCTATACTTTTTATGCTGTTCTGTCACAGCTTCTATATTTTTAATTTCTTTTAGAAAATTTTATGCTAAGTTTTCATCTGCTTTTCTTATATGATTTTGTCATCTGTCAGCATTTTCTTCAGTTCACTTTCTTCTTCTTATTTTTTACCATCTTTTCAGGATGCCTAATTGCAACCCCTTTTTGTTGCTCATGTTTAAATGAGATGAGTTTCTGCACTGTTAAGAGAAGGTTCCATTTTAGGGGATGAGGATGGGCCAGGGTTGCTTTCCTAGCTTCACTGCTCAAGGACTCCATCCTCTGTTGTTAGACAAATTATTTTAAAAAAATGGCCTCTATGTATATCCACTTCTATAGTTTTGAGACTCTCTCTCTAGTTTCTGAACCTTTTTTTCCCTTATCCCTGTTCTTGCCCTACACAAATCAAATTTTATCTCCAATACGTTTTTCCTTAGGATGTGTCTGTCCTTTTGTAAGAGTTTTTGTTGACTTTCCCTAAGATGTCTGAGGGCTTAGGATGGTCCAGTTCCTTGTGATCTTCTCAAGGTCCCTTAGTAGATCTGTGGCCTTTTTTATACTCTCTCCAAGCTGCAGCATGCAGAATCCTCGCACTTTTACAGGTTATTCTCTGAGGTATTTGCTAGAAGTCCTCTGAGTGGGGTCCTCTTCTTTTGAGTAAAGTATTTGCTTTGGGTATCAGGGGTCTTGGGACTCTTACGAACTCTTTTGGCTTCCCTTCACAACTTCCACATAGCTGCAATGCACGTCTGGGTCCTTTCTGTTATTGTGGTTTGAACACTCATTTTTATTCTGGGGCTAGCGGGAACACCTTAACATCCATTTTTTAATGAAAATGTCCCTGTGTGTGTCTCCTACTGCTATTCTAGGTTTGTCTGTTTTAATAAATACATTTGAGAAGATTCAGATACTAGGTTGCTTTCAAGACCTTACCCCACCCAGGATCTTTTTTTTTTTGATGACACAAAGGATATGAGAGCATAACTTAATAACCTGATAGCATTTTTCCTTTTACTAGTGTTAACTAGTATAATCATCATACATAATTTGAAAAGTAAAAAAGACATAAAACAAACAAAAATGCCTTTTTCTTATAATCACTTACGTTCTTCTTGGCCTTAATCTCTGATCACTATATGGAATCAATGCCACCAATTGGTTTTCTTGTCCTAAAAGTCAAAGAAGTAGGTTTAAAAATTTATTAACATGAAATTAAAAATATAGTGGCTCCTCATCAAGGTCTGGTTTGAAAAGACCAGAATGCTGTCTGGCTGTCATCTCATTCCTTTTGTAAACTGCTCCCAAAATCTTTAATAATTATCCAGTAGAAGCTGAGTTCCAAAGTAGGTAGTATGTTTTTATGTACCTAGATGTCTAGCTAATCGAAATAGTGTAAAGAATGAGGAAGAATAATTCTTTCACTGAAAAAAAATCTAAAAAGTCTCAGCTTTCAGAAGATCTGAATTTACCAGGGCTTCCTTTAACCCCATGATTAAAACTCTGATTTGGTTATGTGGAAAAGAGTGGCAGAAAAAGCCCTATAACTACAGAGCTTCCTACATTATCCCTCTTGAAAACCAAACGACACATACCAAGTCTCATGCTTCAAGAGCCCCAACGTAACGAGCCTTCCAGGACTTTTTCAGGCCACTCCCCTCTCTACATTAAGTGACTTCAAAATTCATCATTTATTTCTTTGGTTGAGCTATATCATATACTTTAATAGATATACGGATCTTTAAATGCCAATTTTCTAATCTTATTAGAACTTGGCTCTTTATGTTAACTGTTAGAGCACCAACATCAAATTCTCTTTTGAAGCTTTCCATAACGCTTCCATTACTCCTCTCTGCCCTCTCCACAATTCTCCCCTCACTTACATTACCCCCACCACACCCACATATAAATAGATACATACATATATCTATATCTATATATATATATAAAATGTATATATGTTTCTGTGTGTTTATACATATCCCATCTTGTTTGGTGGTATTCATTTGGCTAAACTACAATCCTGGTTAAAACCAAGCCTTTAGCTACTATGCCTATATCCACACAGCTAAATGTGGATAGAGAAAAACATACAACTATGCTCACTGATCTCATTTTAGATCACTAATCTCAAGTGGCCCTTAATGATACCAATAATCATACTGTATTTCCCTAGTTCACACTCTCAATCTGACTCTCCAAGACCACAATTTCATAACTTCAACCTTCTTTTGAATCCTCCAAATCTTCTTCCCTCTCCTCACTCTTAGCTCCTGATGTGGCAAATAGAAGGGAACTTTCACAGGCTCCCACCACTTCCTCCACACACCTACCTACTTCTGTGTCCACACACTCTACCTTCTCTGCTGTTACTAAGCGTAAACTGCAGGTCCTCCTCTGTATGAGCAGCCCTCTGCAACTGTACACTAAATCTAATCATTCTCCCATCTCCTGCATTATCAGTGTTTTCTCTATGGATTATTCTCATCAGCATACAAACATATTATTCACTCCATCTTAAAAAAAATTCCTCTCCTTTTCTATACAGCAAAACTCCTCAAAAAAACTCTGTTCTTACTATATAACTTCTCTCCTATGTTCTCTTGATCTCACTCTATACAGTACATGATATACATGCTTATGCAGGCTACCAAAGCTGCTCTTTTAAACGTCTCCAGTGGGCCTCTACACCACCAAATCCAATGTCAGTTCTGTGAATAAACTGGGACCCCTCTCTCTGGTCTAAGAGGCGAATCTAGCAAGTGAGCTGCATAGGCTTAAAGTCAGTACAATAAAAACCCATGCTGTACTGTGAAGCAGCAGTGCAGGCCTCATAAACCCGTGTCTAAATGACCTTGCAACCCCTCATCTCGTGACTGAAGATGCCAGCAGGATGAATCAGCAACAGGAGGAGATAATGGGTACCTCGCTCTCACATTTCCCAAACACGTTTCTTAGCTATTGAGGGAAAAAGTGACAACCCTGGTCCTTGCCTCCCTCCACACGTAGATAACACCAACATTCTAAGTCTTCTTTGACATATAACCAAAAGTTCTCGTTATTCTTGAAGTATATGATTATTAGACATCTAAGCCCTTTCCTACACATATACTGCTTTGTTAAAAGGTATGCAAACTACACTCAGACCTGTAGACCTTGGAGCAGTTCCTCAGAATACTGTGTTGGACTATTTCCTGGGATTTGAATTCCTCATTTTGATTAACAAACTCCTTACCCAGACTCTATTTCGGTCAACAGTTCTCAGTCCTTACATTACTTGATCTACCAGTAGCATCCAACATAGTTGATCACTCTTTCCTCCTTGGTACACTTTCTACATTTATCTTCCAGGACACCACAGACACAGGGATTTCCTCCTTCTACTCTAGGTGCTCTTTTTCAAACTTAGTACTCTCATCCAACTCAGCTTTAAGTATCATCTATATACTCATGACTCCAGCCTAGGCCTTGCACTTGAATTCTGGGCCCTTATTATAACTAACTGCCTAACGAACATATCCACACAGATGTCAAATATGTATCACCAAATGTACAAATCTAAAATTGAGCTCCTGATCTTTCCCCTGACATACACACTCAAATCTTTTCTTCATCCTAATAAATGGCTACTCCATTCTTCCAGTTACTCAGACAAAAATACCTTTGGAGTCATCCTTGATTTCCTACAAGCCACAATCCACTTCTACCTGCCAAAAAAGCCTATTGGCCACACCTCAAAAATATATCCAGGTTACTAAAATGGTACTCCCCGCCCCCACCCTTAGCCTAGTGCATTAATCTCTTCAACTACAATAATCCTTTTAGTCTCAAACAGCTACTACCCCTGCAAAGATAAAACCATCACAAAGGCCAACTCAAATATAAATATAAACTTCCTCAACCCATGGCATCTCTCAGAGACTCTGGCATACCTTATACAGTCACTTTGTCCTTCCCTCAGGTTCTCTCCAGGGTCATATATCAACTTCAGTCAAACAGAAAATAAGAGTAGCACAAGGTATTTTTATTATTTCTATTGTTGTCACTACTACTAAAGCAGCCTACAAACAGCACATGGGGATTATTCCCTTCTAGCTTCCCCTATGATATGCCACAAACTGATTTTTTTTTTCCTATTTGGCTCATCATCATATACCATCTCTCTTCATGTAGTTCCTCTTAAAAATAACTAATTTGGGCATGATCAGCTTATTACTGTTCTTTAGATAATGAATTAAAAATATTAAGTCATCAAATTGCTCCTAATACTCAATATACCAAAGCAATTGTGATATGACTTCTATTGATGCCAAAAGGGACTAGAAGTTTTCAGTCAAGAGATAGTGCATATCTGCTATAACAGCAGGTGGGAAAGAAAAAATACTGGAGGTAGAGGGATGGTTTTCACTACTGCTTTAGGAATCTTAATTAACATTTTTATGTTTGTTTCTTTGTGTCCTTTTGCCCGAAGATAAGTGATACAAAGGTTTAACTTTTATTCTAAGTCTTTTAAAACACTGAGGGGTGGTTGTGCTCAGACTCACGGGTTTTATAACAGTTGTACAAATGCCTAGAATCATTCTTGAAAGGAAAAGCAATGCAATAACACATACCCCTAGGAATTCTTCCTGTTCCTTGACAAGTGGGGCAAGTGACACTATCTCTTCCTGTAAATTCCACATATGGAAACTGAGAGACATCTCCATTTCTTCCATCTTCATTATGGACTTCACTATTAACCAATCCATTCCTCATATTTTCAGTTGATGTGACTCCATCATAAGCCTCTTCTTTATTTGAATGTAAAGTCAAATGAGAAAAAGACTTTCCCATATCTAAAGAAAGAGAAAAATCTTACAGTAAACTTCAGGAAAAAAGTATACTAGAGAACATCATGGGATATTTACATGAATCTAATTAATTAACAACAAACTTTAAGGGAATGTTCAAACTACTTTTTGGATTAGAATTATACTCAATCAAAGTAATGCCTAAAACAAGGGAGCCATTTACCAGAATCCAAAAGAGTTTCTCTAACAAAATATTACGAAAATATATCATGTTAGACTTTTGATGAGAATGGGCTTTCAAACAACATTAAAATTTGACAGAAGTTTACACTTTCTATAGTTCTCTGAAAAGAAACAAGTGGGCTTCACTTTTCTTAGAATAAAACAAAAACAGATTCTACCTTTAAACCAGTTAGCACAGAAGGCAAAAGTTACTTTGGGCAAATTACACCTAGGTATTATACGTATTACCAGGTAAACTCAAAGTAGTATTTTTCAGCCTTTCAAAATGCAAGCCCCTGTGTGGTAAATAAAATCCACAATCCTTCTCATCCTCACATTTCTTGCTTTAAATATTTAACTACTTGCAACAAAAACAACCTAAAAACCAAATCCTGCAGATCTTTCTTTCATTCAACAGCCGGTAGAGTTAAAATTATGACATTAATATCCAAAATACTGAATAAAAATCACCAATACAAAGCAGCAAAATTTGGAACATTAATTTCAAAACTTTAGGATGACAGTATCAAAAAATAACATAGGAAAATTAAATACAAATTTAAAGCCAAGTAAGAATAAGTAACTAGTACTTATACCTATATAAAAATAACCTCCACAAGTCAGTAATGCAATAACACTGCAGTTAAGGTCATACGATTTTAAGGATGAAAAGAACTTAAAATCGATATAATCCAATCTGCTGGTATTCTGAGGGAAAACTAATAGAGGGAAAGCAGAAATTAAAACTAACCTATTTCTTCTCCTTTTGAATTTGACCATATACCTTTTACCAGTTCCTAAAAATAGATTATAGACATTCATACAAAGAGGTAAATGTTTCTTTTAAAAATTCTCGCTGATGTGAATAAGGAAAGCTGACATTTAAAATAATTCAATTTATCCTGTAGGATGAAGAAAAGTTCTTTTAAAATTGGCACGCCATCCGTATGTGGGAGTGACTCAAACATAGTGTGAACAGCAGGATTAAAAACACTATGCAACTGGTAGGCAAACTTAAAATTGCGGAATGATGAATAAAGATGCTTATTTCCACTATTTAAAAATCTATGTACACATTGTCCGTGTAAGTTCAAAAACATAAATGATTTATGATTTCTACAAATGTATTATCTTCCCTTGATTTGTCTCAGTGACATTAAATCTAAGCCAAACCAATACTTGCCAGTCACAGGTGGTTCAGGAGTGAATTAACATCACTGTCCCCTGGCTGTGACCTTGGGCCCTACGTGGAGTACTAGATGAGCTGGGATCTGTGGGCCTCAGAGGCACCCTTTCTGGGATCTCTGCTAACACAACAGGAGTGTAAGGTGCATCCCACAGGAATGCCTTAGCGGGGGTAGACAGAAAGCAAAAGCAAGTGGTTCTCAGTCTGGGCCTGTTTTCTATCATTATCTAACAGTTGCCTTGATGGAGTCTGTCTCTGACAGGTGTTTGTTTCATCAAGACTGTGGACAAGCGCCAGACTTTGTCACCGACTGGGCATCCCTGCCTTCTCTAATGGATTTTCCTCACAGCACTGATAAAGTTAACCACTTTTATTCCTGGAGACTCGCTGGTTTATAAAACGGTGCCAGGGGCCCTTTCGTTCCCCGTGCTCAACGTTTTCATCGCAATCTCTTAATTTACTGGAAACAAATACGGATCTCAGACTCAGTATGGAAAGGAAAGGAAAGTACAGCACTCCATCCAATTTAAACGGGTGATCGTCTGTGATAAAGAAAGAAGGTAGCGCCTTCAATCAACTACGTAAACAAAACCCGACACACAGCCTCCTCTGGAAAGGTTAAAGATAAGATCCAGGCAACCACGCAAGAAAACTCAAGAATAGCAAAAACAAGGGGCCACCTGGCCGCACAAGATGTGGGGGCCTGGAATCAATACCATGCCGCTGGAGCCGCTTGGCAGGAGGCTGGGTCCCCGTAGGAGGAGGTGACACAACTCCTTCACCCAGCTCTGAGCACCTCCCCAGTCGCCCAGTGGGCCCAGCTCCCCGGCGCCCTCCCCTCCTCCACCCTCTCGTGCGGCTCGGCTCTACCCAGGGCGCGCCGCTCGGGCCCGCTCCGGAACGGGACTTAGGGGTTGAGCGTCCGGGGTCGCTCACCGGCACGTGGGGCGCTGCGCAGTCCCGAGCTGCTGCGGCGCGGGCAGGCCCGAGACAGGGTCACGGAGTCCGCAGTCCCGGGTGCTGAAGCTGGAGCGACGGGCCTGCAGCGCCCGGCCGCCGCGGAGTCTGGAGGGGGGAGGGGCCGGACGACGACGACATCAGCTGAGGCCCGGCGCTGCTGCAACCTGCGCCCGCACCTGCGCAGAAAGCTCCCAAAGGAGGCGTATAGCCCGGGAGAGTGCAAGACGCATGCGTCTTTCCTCCGGCTTCGTAAAGCCCGAAAGCGCAGCTGCTGTGACTGCGCGCTATCGCGGTTTCGTTGCCTTGGTCTCCCCAGACTTAAAGGTAAAAATTGGTCGCCCTGACCCTGGAAAATTTTAAAATAATAGTACCTCCTCCATTTTTTTTTTCCCTGTCAGGCCATTTCCTTTTGCAAAAGGGAAAAATGTTCGCTCTCTGCCTCACCCCTCAACTGAGCAGCTTTCTAGTCCACGCTGTGCGAGTCGTCCCTGACACTAGGGAGGCCAGGAGTGGGATAAACTGGGAGGTAGACACACATCTGGCAGCCGAAGAGTCACCTCTATTTTAATTTAGAACCTCTTGCCCAGTAGAAGGGAACTGGAAGCGGGCAGGAACTCTGTTTTTGTTTGGGTTGTGGTTTGCGTGGTTTTAGTTTTGTTTTTGCACATGCTGTCTTCCCCCCCCCGCCCCCGTAACTCAGTGGTTAGTTACAGGAGTGTGAGATCCCAGCTCAAATCCCAGTGCTTCGACTCATCGCTGTGACGCGGAGCTACACTTCCCGACGTCTCCAAGGCGAAGTTATCTCAGTTAGAAAATGAGAATAACAATACAGTGTTGTTTTGAGGGTTAAATGAGATACAGTGAATAACTGTCCAGTACAGACTAGACTCATTGTCTGCAGAGTTTAACATTTAATGAATGGTAGCTATTGTTATAATCATTGTCACAAGATAGAAAGTAACCAAGGAAAGAAGTGATAGTAATTTATTTCTCTGTTCTGACAGGATCGGTGTGTTTGGCCAATGGAATACGAAGATATGTAAAAGTAAGAAGTGCAAGCCAAAATAATATACAATTTAATATTTAAAATTATTATATCCACGTGTGAGATAATGAGCCTTTTCACACAATTTGGCTAAGATATAAACTCATAAATTTTCTGGCAGACAGTTAGGCAATATGTATCAAGAGTATTAAAAATTTAAATTTTCACATCCTTTAGCCCAGCAATCCCACTCTTTGGAATTTATCCTAAACCTAATGAGAACTCTAAAAAGATTTATGTACAAAGTGTGTTCATTTAACTTAAATGTCCAAAAAAAAAGGGACATTGATTAAATCATCTTCTAAGTCCCTTTTTAAAGCCCATGTCTTCCAATGGGACATTGATTCAATTATTTCAACCCCTCTTATTTAGCTCATGTCTTCCAAAGATGGGGGGAAAGGTGGTCATTCTCCACCACCATTGTCTGAAATTTCAAAATAAGTAGCTTGGCTAAAGCAAATCAGAATCCTGGGAACCTCCGTCTCAAGTGGAAAAAAAGGAGACATAAAACAATATTTTGTATACATTTTCACAGGGTTCACAGATTTCCTTGAAGTCTGTCCACGAACACCAGATTAAAAGCCCTGGCTGTAAAGTAGCTAAGGATTAATGTGGCAGGAAAATGGATTATAAGACCCAATTAGATAAAAATGGCTGTATTTAGACCTCAGTCATTACAACAATGGTGTTATATTTGCTAGCCATTATTTCTCCTCTTTTTCAAAAATGGCTTTGGGAAAGAATAATTATGAATTAGAGATACACAGGCAGGGTTCAACTGTGGTATATGAATATTAGGTGACTCCACATTTCTTTTCAGAAAACCCTGAACAGATTCATTCCCTTCTTATAGTTTTTCTATTTCCTCTGTTAAAGAAGTATTATCATTGTTTAAATTGCAGTTTAACATTTAAAGGAGTGAGTTTTAATTTTTATTTATGAAATGGGGCATAGCTTGGACACCTTTGATTCTGGCTTTAGGGGTTCTTCAAAGTTGCCTCTGTGGCCACCACGGTGAGGAGGGGTGGGAAAGTGTCTAACTAGAGTCAGTCTTTTATGGAATGTCATTTAAAAAATTCTAGTGCCGTAATCATATAAGTGATCTTCTAAATATAATACAATAAATTTAAACTCTGAGCAAATTAATAAACATCAAACTAATTGAAATTTTACAGTTTAAGTCTTAAGGGAGCACCTATATAGAGAGAGCTCATCACTTCCACACCTAGTATCCCCCAAGCTCAAAGTAATGTTTTTAAAAATCTAGTTAGAGCCTGTAATTAAATAAATCTGTTCTTTCTCATTACATATTCAATCTGAGATAGGAATTGGAAGCAGATGAGAAACTGAAGATAACTGAGTGGAAAAAACAAGTGTAATGAAAATTAAAGTTTTGAGTTAGCACAAAAATCTCAGTAGGCATTAAGATGAGAAGTAAACAGTATTCTTTTTTCCCTTAAGCTAAAACTTTTTAACTATATGCAATCAAAAAATCCTAGGAACTCTATTGGTGTTTTGTGTTATTGTAGGGCAGTGTTGTCTAAAAGAATACATCCTAGTCACACGTGGCTGTTGAGCACTTGAAATGTGGCCACTCTGAATTAGATTGTGCAAATTTTTGACTTCATATAAAAACAAAACTATCTCTAATTTTTTATCTTGATTATATGTTGAAATAATAACACTTTGGACATATTGAGTTATTAAAATTAATTTCACCCATTTCTTTTTAGTTTTTCTAACATAGCTACTAGAAAATCAATCTTAGGGGGCTGACCCTGTTGCTGAGTGGTTAAGTTCTCCAGCTCCCACTTCGGTGACCCAGGGTTTCGACAGTTCGGATCCTGGGCGCAGACATGGCACTGTTCATCAGACCATGTTGAGGTGGCGTCCCACAGGCCACACCTAGAAGGACCCACAACTAAAATCTACAAATATGTACTGGGGGGATTTGGGGAGAAAAAGTGAAAAAAAAAAAGCAAAAAAAAAAATGAAAGTCAATCTTAAAAATATTTCTTTCTTCATATTGCTTAAAATGTGAGGTAGATAGATAAATCAACAAAAACAATGAAATATGATAAGGTATACAAATGATAGAAGTATGCATAGAAGAATGCTTTCTAACTGGGGCTAAAAGATTGGTGCATATTCCCTTGAGAGGGTGAGGAATGTATAGGAGGTTTTTTTGTTTTTATTTCTTTGACGTTTTATTGGAATATAATTGGCATACCATTAACTTTACGTGTTTAAAGTGTAGAATTTGAGAAGTTTGAACATAATATACTTGGAAAACCATAACCATAATCAAAATAATGAACTCAGAAAAATTGCCTCGTGTCCCTTTGTAACCCCACTCTTGCTACTCCTCCACTATTATACTTTCTGTCATTGTATATTAGCTTGCATCTTCTAGAATTTTACCTTAGTGGACTGAAACATTATGTACTCTTCTTTGTCTGGATTTTGTCATTCAATCTACTTATTTTGAGATTCATCCAACTTGTTGCAAGTACTGATACTCCATCCCTTATTATTGCTGAGGACTATTCCCTTATAAAGATATGCCACAATTTCTTTGTCAGTTCAACTGTTGATGAATATTTGGGTTAAAATTTCAACTTTCTGGCTGTTACAGGCAAAATTGCCGTGAACATTCATGTACAAGTCTTTCCAAGAAATGTTGCTTGCATCTTTGGAGTATATTCCTAGGAATAGAATGGCTATGCTAAGTATATGTTTAAAGTTTTAAGAAACTGCTAAACTATTTTCCAAAGTGGCTGTATCATTTTACATTCCCACTAGCAGTGTTTGGAGTTTCTGTTGATCCTCACTTTTGGTAATACTTGGTATGGTTATTCTTTTTAATTTTAGCCATCGTAATAGGTGAGTAGTAGTTTCTTATGGTTTTAATTTGCATTTCCCTAATGGTTATTGATGTTTAATATCTTTTTAAGCACTTATTTTACAAAATACCTGACTGGTGCTCCTCAAAACTGTGAAAGTCTTCAAAAACTATGGAAATCTGAAACTCACAGCTAAGGGGGCCCTAAGGAGACAAGACAACTAAATGTAATGTTGCATCCTAGATCAGATGCTGAAGCAGGAAAAAGTACCTTAGGTAAACACTAAGGGAATCAGAATAAAGTATGGACAATGTATCAATACCGGTTCATTAATTGTAACAAATGTACCATGCTTATGTAGTCTGTTAATAACTGGGGAAACTGGGTATAGGGTACATGGGCATACTCTGAACTGTCTTCTTACTAACTTAGGGTAGGAAAAGATTTATTAAACAGGACTCAAAAAATACTAACTACAAAAGGAAAATATTAATGTATCGGTTGGTCTTTATCAAAATTAAGAATTTCTGCTTATCAAACACACCATAAATAGGCAAGTTACAGACTGGGAAAATATAATGCAGCTATGTGATAAAAGACATGTTCAGAATATGTAGAAACTTTTACAGATCAACAGTGAAAAGAGAAACAATCCAATTAAAAAATACACGAAAGACATGGCAGACACCTGCAAAAGAATATATAGGAATAGACGATTAGAAAATGAAAAGGAATGAACATCATTAGTTATTAGAAAATATAAATTAAAAATACAACGATACACCATTCCCATCCACTGGAAGGGCTAAAATGAAAAACAAAAGCAAAATAAAAAACTTCACAATACCAAATGTGTCAATATTGGTTTGTTCCTTGGAACAAAGTTACCATACTAATGTAAGCTGTTAATATTGTGGAAACTGGGATATGTAGGAACTCTGTTGATGAGCATGTGGAGCAACTAAAGTGCTCTTAAGTTGGTAGAGGGAATGTGAAAATAAATTCTTTGGTGAACTACATGGCAGTTTCTTATAAAGTTAAACCCACATCTGTCCTATGACCTGGCTACCTACATGGACATCAAACATATCCTACAAAAAGAATTGTACAGGAATATTCATGGCGCTTTATTTTTGCTAGACCAAAACTTGAAGAAAAAACTCAACAAATATCCATCAACAGGGTAAACCAAATGATGTAAATTTGTACATTCATATAGCAGAATACTACTCAGCAATAAAAAGGAGCAAACTGCTGATACAAGCAACATGGA